TTAGATTTTCCATAAATAGTCCTACGAATTCGAGGCAATAATGAAATAATATACATATTCTAAAAATATTCTCTTTCTTTTTTTTTTTTTGTGGGTTCAAAGTGCTTTTATTTTTTATTTTTTACACTTGGAGATGATGATCTCTTCTTGTCACCGTTTACCGCGGCATCAACTTGCTAAAAGGACTATATTGCTACTAGGCTGCTACTCATTACCCAGAATCCAAGCATATACCTCTGCTACTATTACTAATGCCACATCGTGTACGCATGCCCCATGACTGAAACACTTGCATTGGTGCACATGATGTGTCTGCACTGCTTTTATGCTTAGAGCTCAAAGTGGGAGAGAAAGAGACCTCTACATAGTCATTGCACTTTTTATCCAAGAAAATATATGATGGAAGACAAAATAAAAGGACCATGATCGGATTGCTAATGTGCTTTCAGATGGCATGAGGCCCACAGTGACATGATTACTTCCTTGTAATTATCTATGAAACCAATAATCTATGTTTGATGTAGTTGAAATGAGTGCACTGATTATAAGAACTAGACTATTTGACTGTGTTTAATTATGGTTCTGACAATCCTCGTAAGCAAAAGAGGGAGTTGATCGAATGAAAGGAGAGAGAAAGATGAAAGATAAGGATAAGAATAATGCTGGGATGTAAAGGAGGTGGGTGCATGTGATGCAAAGTTCCACATGGGGTATATAGCATAAGGAAAAAGTTAGGGGTGTATAAAGTAAGCCACATCTATTTCCAAGTAGTGCCCTCTCTGAAACATAGACGAAATGAAAAGGTGCTGCATTGATTAACTAAGATTTAAATTCTTTTTTTTTTTTTTTTGACAATCGGGATTCATTTTAACCATGCGATCTTTGAACTAGTGGTTGTGATGTGAACTCTCGTATGCACACACAATCACCCACAAATCAAGGACATCAGGTTAACTATTAAGTGATTCTTGCGAGAATTGAACTTGGAATTGCGAGTTGTTAACCACTAAAACTTTGTGATTAGATATAGTACCTTAACATGCTAAAGAAGATTTTTAGGTTTAATCTGCCATGTGGTTTGTCCCCAAGGTCTAACAAGAAGGTTGTGTTGATTTACACTTTACAGTAAGCAAAAGTAAATACATGCATTTAGGACAGCCGAAAGCTGTAAACATCACAGTTGCCACTTGCCAACTAGCTAGGAAAAGGGAAAACTGGAACAAGCTGTAACTTGGAGAGAGGGTAAGGGACCTTCTTATGATGGGAAAAGAGGCTTGGATCTCCAAATTGTTAGGAGAAGCCTATTCCATCCATACAAAGGTAAATGGCCACAAGGAGTGTTATGATAAAGTGATTCAAAGCTTTGGGGATTGATCCATGAAAGAGTGATTCTATTTTTTCGTTACCCTTTTCTTATGAAAAATCTTCTCTTGGTAAGTAAAAACTGGAGGGTGATCAGTGCGATAACACAAGACCTATTGCTTTTTCTTTTTAGCTGTTTTGTCTATGCCTGCATTTCTTCATCAACATGAGTTTTGGTTACATGCCTTCGGCTGAACTTGTTGAACAGCCTTTATAAGTAGGGAACTGACCTTTACAGCACTAAAAACGCTCTAGTTCAGAATGCAAGTACTTGTTTTATGCACATTTAACCTACCCTGGTGACCAATCATCAAACATTATTGCAAAAGGGTCAGGTGAACAGTTTGAACAACCAAATATACTGGGGCTTTTTATCATGGGTCAGCCATCCAACTTGGTGCCCGGATAAGCCCCCCGGTCACCACAATGGTAAAGGTTAAAATAAAATTCGTGGATGGACATATGGCACACCAAAATTTGAAGTCATTTCAACCATGAGGATACACAAATGACAAAATAATATATATAATTGTTTCTTTTTTTGGTCAATCATTCTATATTTGTCCTCAAAAACTGATTCTTTGTAGCAATACCCACTACAATCTTATTTTATGGCTTTCCATAAGTTGGTAAGATTGGTCCAAACATATAAAAGCAAGCTAGGTACTAAATTTGAACAAGACCACATTGTGAAAGACAAACAAGGTTAAGGAAACAAAGTGGGGCCTCCCTTTAGGTTGTAGTTGCTTGGTTTGCGTCCAAGCCAACGGTAGGATTTGGAAAATCCAATGAAGAGAGTGTTAGGTCGAGATAAGGAAAGCTGGTTTAAGATGATCTCTGTCGGCTCTCTCTCCCTCAGAAAATAATGGTGCGTGTGTGTGAGGGCAGTTTGCTTAGCTTGCAGTTTACCACAACAAAAATAAAGCATTAAGAAACTATTCCAACGGCTCCCCGAACAAAGAGCCTAGGTTCTAGAGTTCAATTTGAAGACAGTGTCTAAGTTTAATACAACTCCATTTATATGGGAAATGAGCATTGCATTTGAGTACTTCAAAAACAAATTGCAGGGCTTAACTTATATCTCTCACTTTTTGCCTAACTTTCTTTTTATTTTCTATGTGATTTGTCTGTGTGTACACTTATTTTGTTTGGTTAATAGAAAATGACAAAGCGACGTAGTACTTCAACCCTAATCTATGATAAAAAAACATATATACTATTCCAGAAGTTGGTCAAAGAAGTAGGGTTGTGAAATTAGGGCTAATTTTCGGTTAATGATAGACTCCAAGGTTATTAATTTGAACTCTAGGTTGTATTCTTAATCTATATCTATATCTATACTACTAATAAAAGTGGTTTAAGCGAAAAAATTTTGATTTCCTTATTTATCCTTACATAATTTTATGATGTCTACATTATCCTTTTTAAAGTGGCTTAAAAGAAAAAATTTTGATTTTTTTTTATGCATCCTTCAAAAATTCTATAATGTCTATTTTATCTTTTTTTAGGAATTTTTTTATTAATTGCATTAATTCAATTAATAGATTCATTGTTTAACTTTTGATTATCTTCTTTCCAAATAATATAGATTCGACTCAATTCCGATTTGAACAATGTGATCCAAATGTAATTCAATTGTTCAACAAATTTTATTTTTCACAGTACATGAATGAGTCCGTTAAAATATATATTCTTTCTGATCTGAATAAGTTGATTAGAATAATTTGGTATATAAAAAGTCTTAATTTATCTGATATGCATAATTTACAAATAATTATATTCGAATTTGAAATTTGCAACATAGTTATTGAGATGAGATGATTGCCTAATCTTAATAAAAAAAAATTGTGGTTCAAGTAATCCATATTAACCATATTAGGTATGTTTAGATCACATAAAGGTTAACTAATTTCTCATTATGAAATGATTTGGACCATTCAACAAAAGGCATGTGACAAGATAAACTTTCAGATTTCTTCTCAACTTGGATGTCAAGCTACAATGCAACGGAGAAATAGACGGTATATTGGACCCACACACAAAAAAAAATAAAAATGAACAGGTTTAAGCTTTGATGACATTGATGGTCATCCTCCAACTATCTTGACAACCTTTCGAGCCCTTTTACCAATCCAGCAACCCAATGCCCACCAGCATCTTGTTGCAATTACGCGAGCTTGAGTTGTTAAAATTTAGAAAAATAGAAAATAGAAATAATTTATAGGTCCAGATTCTAACTCCATGATAATTCAACCGATAATAAGAATGAACTATATATTCAGATGTTCTGAGTTCAAATATTGATAATTTCTTGAAATTAGATTATAAGAGATTTATTTCTCATGAATACTTTAGTTTTAGTTTTGATGATCTGTCTTTGACCGGACCAAATAGAACATTAGTCGAGGTATGCATAAACTAACTTGAATACTCTTTTAACATTGAACCAAAAAAAAAAAAATGGGTACAAACAATAAACCTAAGACTTGAATTTCCTCCTATATACTTCACCAAATTTTATTTGCAGTACATCAATCCCAAGAAAATCAAATATGATTTTGATTAATTAATCATGGCTTGAAGCGGGTTCAAAAGATTTATTCATCTCTAATGAACTTTTATGGTTGATTGTCATGTACATACATGTATCGTGTACGGGGAGTAATCTATCATTAAAAAATTAATAAAAATATTAAAAAATCTAAATCCCTTCAAAATTACCTCCTAAGTGGGCAAAACACCCAAAGAAGAACTGATTAATAGCAACAAATTCTGTGAAAATTTGGAACCATTAATGTGACAGGGAGAGAATGAAGGAACCAGCAGATTATAGTGGCTAGAAAAAGGCCATGTGAGGTAGGAGACCACAAGCTGGCCAATGTGCGGGTCTCTGTTTCCGACCACTCTTTCTTTTCTGTTACCTCCTACCACTTCCACCCCCACTGTCCCTTTCTTCAGTGTTGGTTCGTTCTCGTCTCGTCTCTTCCGTCTTTTCTTCATCACGGACCCCTCAACCTCCGCCTTTGCTACACTCCAAATTGCACAACTTAAGGTGAAAGTATTTTTCAATGTTTTCACTTGAATAGATATCACCCCTACCGAAAATATAACACTGAAAATTTTTAATTTTAGTTTTATTATTGATAGAGACGAATGCAAATATCATTAAGCTGTCTAACTTTATTTTTAATTGATTTAAATATTAATACGTAAAAAATAAATTTTAATTAGTTCGAATTGAATTTTAACAGTCTCGAATTTTAATATGTAAAAAAAAAATATTAAAAATAGATGTGATCTCATTGAAGATATATCTACCTAGAAGGGCAGTGAATTAATTTTTTTTTTAAATTTATCATAGATAATTTAATAAAATTATATTTTAACGTCCTGAAGAGGGCAAAAGGGTAATAACGAGCCGAACAGAAACTGCTGTACTGTTAAAAAAAGCCGTTGAGAACCGCGCGGGGTAAAATCGGAAAGAGTGCGATGAAAGAAAGTATTGATATCCGTCCGTCTGGGCTGGTGTGCAGTGAATGAGTCCAAACCAAGGAAAATGATGGGAGTGGTGGTTGTCCTTGCAGTTACACTCGCCTTCTTTTTAACACACTCCCACAACAACACTCCCCAGCTGCTATCCCCCAACTACCCTTTGTTCCCCTCTCTCTCTCTCTCTCTCTCTCTCTCTCTCTCTCTCTCTCACTCGCTCTCCCTGCATTGTCTGAGAATCTGAAAGGCGAACTCTCTCCCTCTCCTCTTGGTTTTTCTGTTGTTGCTGCATCGCTTTCTGGTCTTTAATTTCTCCAATTCTGTGGAAATATTGGTCTTTCTCTATCTCTCTCTCCCCCTTCCCTGACTAACTGTTTTCAAAACACACCAATATCTCTCTCTCGCTCTCTCTCTCGCTCTCTCTCTCTATAACTGTTTTTGGTTCTTTCTTTCTAATTCTTACTCCAACCGCTTCCAATGGAAGCGGCAGCAAGTGAAGATTGCTGTGTGAAAGTTGCAGTTCATGTTAGGCCGCTTATCGGCGATGAGCGCCTCCAGGGTTGTAAAGATTGTGTCACAGTGTTCCCGGGGAAGCCTCAGGTACAGTCCTATTCATAAGTCATGGAAAGAATTGTTGTAATTTAGGAATTTTTTTTATCTTGAACTTATCAATGGAATCCTCTAAGATCACCTTTCTGGAATAGTTGTTGATTTCTCGGAGATCTAGATCTCAAAAAGACTATCATCTTTTCAAAGATTTAATTCATGCATGTTCGAGTCTCGGAAGTAGTGTTGCTAACCTGATTGTAAGCTGTATTTTTTGTGATATTTTCTGAATTAGGTTGTTTTAATCTGGGAAATTATGACCATAATTAAGCTTATGTCGTTGAGGTCATAACAGTTCTCGTTTACAGTGACAACTTTTCGACAATTCTACCAATGACTATGTACATATATCTGTGTGTTGGCTTAAAGCATCAATTGGTTCATGCTCTGCCTTTTGTCCTATATTGTGTGGAGTTTGATGGTTGTAGAATTTTGACGGTGCTTGATTGATGAATGGGACTCTAGTAGTTTGGTGCTACGGGAGTTCTGAACATGGCTTAGATGCTTCATTGGCTGTCATATAGGTTTTTTACTTGAGTAGCAGAGCATATGCCCAAAGAGCTAGACGAATCTTGTACGCGGTGATTTCCGCACAATAGATGAAAAGACAGATTTCTCCCAACTCACGTTCGTCGAGGAAATGGGCTATCTCGAGGCAAAAGAACAATCCAAAATGGCCAAAGGGGGCCTACGGAGTGGTGATGCTCGATCGATTCTGGCGGGTTACGGGTGGTTCCTGGTACACTAAAAACAAGTTAGAAGGGCACTGGAGTGTTTCTCGGCGTATCCTCTCCGTCGATCAAGTCAGTTCTTTGAAGAGGGGAAGAAGGAAACAATGTATATTACTTGAGAGATGATTTTGCGTACACATTCCTTCACATTTTTGGGAACTATTTATATCCCCAAAGGCTCATCATTACTCATAGCCTAGTCAATAAGTAGTACCCAGACATAGGGCAGTGTGCCTTCTATTTTGCATGGGAGAGACCCCGTTATTGATTGCTCAGGCTCCCTAGTATTTAATGCTCTCCCTTCGATGTAAAGACTTTAAATGCTCAGAGCTTGGAACATTTATTACTCGATATCCTCGGCTTCCCAAACTACTGTGGATGTCTCATTACTGAGGATTCAATAAATGCTTGTCTGGGACAGCCGTAAGTCAGCAGGGGTAGTCCTGTTTATTTACCCCATATCCTGCACTTTATGCCATGCGTCTGACTCCCCCTTAGTTCGTTCTGCTATTCTGACTTTATTGTGCAGAGTGCCCTCGTGATTCCTAGTCTAGTTTAAACTGTTCAGCTGTCAATCAGTACAATTTCCAGAAGCCGAAGACTCGTGACAAGGTCAGAGTTTTTAGTGAGTACCCTCGGATCCGAGGACACTTACCCTTGGAGCCGAGGACACATGTCTGTTATAGAGAGGGGGAGCACTTTGACGCCAAGTACTAGTACTTGTGACAGAGAGACACACGCCTTCGGAGCCAAGGACACGTGTCTCTATCAGAATAAAAGTGTTTCCTCGGCGCCGAGGACACGTGTTGCCATCCACTCCTTTCTCAGAAGTGTCTTATCAAATCTTTTCTGTTTTCTGTTTGCAGAATATATATATATTTCAGCTTCTTTGTTGTTGCTTTTTAGGTCTCTTTAATAGTTCTTTTCCTGCTTAGCTCGCAGTGAGTGGAGTCTCAGGGAGATACTTGATTTGCATATTTTACAAAGTGGCTGTTCTTGGATATGAACTCACAGCATCATGGCTATTAGTCTGACAGTTTTACAACACCACCAGGCAGTGATCCCTGATATTGAAGGGAAACAAAAATCTGAATCACACTATTTGTCTAATGACAGTTTTCGACACCCTACATGAAACTGGCCTTGCTAATCTAGGCTATTTCCAATCCTGACACTTGCATATTGTCCTGATATTTGCATTGTCATAATTGCACGACACTTTTCCCATGTTTCTAAATTTAGACTTCACCATCATTGACAGACACCAATCTGGGCTAGTTGCTTCTTCCATGGTAGACATATTTTTGGCTAACTTTTCTTTTTTATTTTTTTTGGGTGGTTTTAACACTCCACATTGTCTTTGGTGCAGGTGCAACTTAGCACACATTCCTTCACTTTTGACCATGTTTATGGGGGCACTGGCTCTCCCTCATCTGCCATGTTTGGAGAGTGTGTTGCACCTCTTGTGGATGGTTTGTTCCAAGGATATAATGCCACTGTTCTCGCTTATGGTCAGGTAAAGTCCTACCATTTATAAGAAGCTGCCTGTAATGAACGTTAATTCTAAACTGCTGTCACATTTTCATTATAATTTGTATTATTGCAAAAATTGTTTCACTGGGTTGCAGACAGGCTCAGGCAAAACATATACCATGGGAACTGGCTTCAAAGACGATTGCCAAACTGGACTAATTCCGCAAGTTATGAATGCTTTGTTCTGCAAGATTGAAACTCTGAAGCATCAAACTGAATTCCAATTGCACGTTTCGTTCATTGAGGTTCATATTTGTTTGACTATATCTTCATTAATGCGCTGTGCATTTAATTCACTATAATGGACTCAGTATGTATGTCAAGGCTACAATATTTAACTAAATAGATAACAATTGAAAAAGAAAAAGTACTGGTTCTTGGGGATCACCTGTGTCAGACATGTCTAAACCGTGAAGAACATGGATGAATTTTCATGTTTGCTGACAATTTAGTGTTGCATCTGCATCACAGCTCCTAAAGGTGGCAAGCGAGATTTATTTCTTAACTCTGTCTAAATGTAAGGCTCCTATAGTTTTATCCTATTAAAGTGCATGCTTCTTTTCAATTAGTTGCGTCTTCATCATTTGTAAAGTGAGATTTCTCGGGCCCAAGATGCGGAATGAAGAACAATAGTTTGACTAGTGATGCTGATGTTACCCCAATGGTCTAGTATTACATCATTTGTAACATCCATTGTGTAGTTGATCTGTAATATACTGAATGGTATTAGAATGTGCAATGCTTGTTTATTATTTCTTCACTACCAAAAAACCTTTCTTGAAGTAACATGAAAATCGCAATATTACTATTAAATATTTGTATGCTATTATTACAATCTGATATTTGTGTGGTATCATATGCTATCCACAATTGATGTAGATGGAGAGTAATTAATTTGTCTGATGTGCAGATTCTAAAAGAAGAAGTACAAGACTTACTGGATTCCATTTCTGTGAACAAATCAGAGGCAACAAATGGGCATTCAGGGAAAGTAGCTGTCCCTGGGAAACCACCAATACAAATCCGTGAAACATCTGATGGTGTTATTACACTGGCTGGGTCTACTGAACGTAGCGTTAAAACGCTGAAAGAAATGGCTGATTGCCTGGAGCAAGGATCATTGAGCAGGGCAACAGGGAGTACAAACATGAACAATCAATCAAGGTGATCTTGCCCATATATAGTTTCTTTCTTAAAACATTGATGTTGTTGATTGTATTGTTGTTTACTTATTGGAATACTAAAAAGAGGCCTCGTTGAGTGAGGTAATTTGTAGCCCTTTGTCATGGTTTTCTGCACTGGGAAAAGGTGAGTCGAAATGTGCATCTTTAAAGTAGAGAATTTATTCTTTTCTTTAGAAATTGTCCTTACTACCTTGAACTTTTTCCATACACTCTCTTTGCTTGATGAGATGAAATAATTTGTGTCACGGTGTGTTGGGAAATGGTATTTTGATATGCCAAGATTTTCTTGTACAACTTATCTCATGTTAAGAGGGAAATATTGTCGATAAATTATTTATTGTGTTTGATGGTCAACTCATTTCAACAAATCTTTATCCCATTTACGTGTTTTTAACTAGAGAAAATTTAATTTGCATCTTCATATTTTTTATATTTTCTTTTTATCCAGTATTGGTATTCTTTATGTCATGCCCTCATGTGTTGACTGATTATACCTGGCTCTTAACTCAATTAATAGGTTTAGTTTGGAAATTTGGTTTTTTACTTTAAAAGTTGCCCATAGTTGCTGCCGGCTCCAATGACATTCTTTTCTGCTATTTATTTGTTTATGCAGTCGTTCACATGCCATTTTCACCATTACAGTGGAGCAAATGCGTAAGCTTAATCCAGTTAGTCCTGATGATGGCAGTCTGAATGAGTGTATGAACGATGAATATCTCTGTGCCAAGTTGCATTTGGTGGATCTTGCTGGATCAGAGCGAGCGAAAAGAACAGGGTCTGATGGCTTGCGTTTTAAGGAAGGTTGGTGGAACATCTAGAATTTCTTTCCAATTTCATAAACTAATAGGAACATCATGAGGATGAACAGAGAGGGGGTCATAATCATAATACACTCTTCTTTTGGCAGGAGTTCACATTAATAAGGGCCTTCTTGCACTTGGTAACGTTATCAGTGCACTTGGTGATGAGAAAAAGCGGAAAGAAGGTGTACATGTTCCATATCGGGACAGTAAACTTACTCGGCTTTTGCAGGTTTGACTTGCTTTTGAGGTTGAGGATATCAATATAGCTTGTCCAGCATGTGTAATTATAAAACATTAGTAAGTTTAAGCATTTCAGTTGTGAGCGACATTCCCTCAATTTTGTTTGGAAACATCTGTAAATATGGTGTTAAAACATATTTTTTCCATTGTAAAAGAGTAATGACCGTGTGAGGCATACAACTATCATGCAGTGAATGTATACTTATTGTATATTAATCTCAACAAACCTTATGGTTAGTAAGAAAAACGTGTCCTGAGTACAGTATCAGAAAGTTGTTGGTTGGCAGGTTTTTGGCTATGGCATAAGTAGGCCAATGAACTAAGAGGATAATAGCAGTTACAATTTTAGAATATTTTTATTTTCCTTAGAGAATGCTGGTTTTAGTTCCCATTCTTCTTCTTTTTGTATGTTAATTTGCTTATTCCATGTTTACCCTAACCTTTTTACATTGGCAGGACTCACTTGGTGGCAACAGCAGAACCGTTATGATAGGTAATTTGTGTTTCTTGGTCTGTTTTCTTTTTCTCTTTACTGGTGGTGTATCAACTATCATGGTGCTTATGGCACTAATTTAAGACAAGTGAAAATCACCAAGTCCTAAGTTTTCCCCACAAAAAACAATCAAGTCTGTATCATATTTCTTGTAGTACAATAAGTCTTATTTTTGACAATTTGTTTTAAAGAAGTCCTAAACTGCATTAATGACATGTTTTGTTTCAATTTTGACCTTCTCATGAAAATATTAATTATATATTTGCATAATTTATAGAGCACAGCCGAAATATATAGAGACGAGTAGAAGCATTGTCATGATAATATGAGTGATGTTTTGTGTAATATACAAGAAAATATGATTTTAACTAAATCAGAATTGATGGTATAATTATTGGCAAAAATTTAAATGATGCTTTGGTCAAAAGGATAATTGGAACAAAACAAACTATGATAGAGTTTAGGATTTTAGAAAAAGTTATCAAAAGTAGGACTTAGTTGTCCTAACAGAAATATGATAGGATTTAATTTAATTTTTTTTTTTTGGGGGTGGGGGGGTGGGGGGAGGAATAAGACTAATTGGTAATTTTTCCTTAAAACAATTCACATGGTGTGCTGCACAGAGCCCTTTGAGTGTTCCTTTGCTTGATTATTTGTGGACTAAGCTTTGAATGAAAACAATGCTTATAGTTACTGTCGTAATTTTTGGCCAATATGGATCATGTTTTTTTCCTGGACAGCTAATGCACCTCGTATTCATACTTTGTTTTCTCTGTCCCTGTATAATGCTGAAATGGTTAATGAGTGAGTTGGTCAAATCAGTTCTTTCTCATTTCACAGTAAAATATAGTGAGATATGGATGATGACCAAAATTGTGAACAATGGAATTGCACTGGGGATTCTTATTACTTAGACGCAGTAGTTCTCAAAAGATGAGTTGGAAAGTTTTATTTTTTTTATTTTTTAATTTTTGCACTCTTGAGTTAGTGATTTGGATTAGTGCATGGGATTGATATAAGATGCACTTTGTTTAGTGCAAGGACTAACCAATACGAACATTAATTATTTAATCCCTTGTAGTAATCATTTTCTTCACATACTTATTTTTCAGTCTCCTTTACTCTTTCTTAAATTCTTTTTAAATCTATAAAGATTTCCCAACATAAATACAATTTTCTTGGATATAAAGTTGGTAACGGAACATTTACCTGACAAAAGAGTGGCTCTAGTTAACTAGTTGATAACTGGCTTCCCAGATTTCACTATATTAAATCTATGTAATGGCGATTCAGTAGAAAGGAGGCGTTCAATGAGTAGCTTAAAGAACTTCGGTGTCGGCTATTCGTTCCCTTTTTTGCTGGGTACCAGTATTTGTACATAGAAAACTCATTGTCCAAGTGTCCAATTCATGGCCTTGAACCTTTGACATGGCAACCGCTGCCTTGATGAAGGCAGAAATTTCTGTGTATGGTTGATAACTTTTTCTGTTCTTTCCTTTGTACTGCCAAGTTGTATCTTTTTAGCACATACTTATTTTCTTTAAGACCTATCCTAAAATGCAAAAAATTGGAAACCTTTTTTCAATCATATTTTTCCTTGTTTCCATCCCTAGCTTAGAAATAGTCTCTGCATGTGTTATTTTGATAATTAGATGGAACTCCTTCATGTTTATATTTAGTTTTGACCTTAGTTCTTTTCCAGCCTGCATCAGCCCTGCTGATATAAATGCCGAGGAAACTCTTAATACTCTGAAGTATGCAAATCGGGCTCGCAATATACAGAATAAGCCGGTTGTAAGTTTTTGTAGTTTTTTTTTTCTATTCTCTTTCTCTCAATTTAGAACACAGAAACAGAGATTGTGAAGGTGATTTAAGTAGGTTTGTCCTTATTTATTCATCAGGTAAACAGGGATCCTATATCTAACGAGATGTTGAAGATGCGCCAACAACTGGAGTATTTGCAGGCAGAACTTTGTGCCCGTGGGGGAGGAGCTTCCTCTGACGAAGTACAGGTACTTGGAATTGGTCTTCTCTGATGATTTCTAGATTAAATCTGATTGGTTATTCTTTGTCTCATAAATGGATAGCTTTTTCTATCAGATTGCTTTATAAAAGAAAAATTAAATTATCATATTTCATTGGTGTAGATTCTTAAGGATAAGATTGCTTGGCTTGAAGCTGCTAATGAGGATCTCTGTCAAGAACTTCATGAATACCGCAGCAGGGGCACTGCCATGGAGCAATGTGAAACAGATGCTAAAGTATACAATAAATGTTGACTTATAGATCACCAAGTTTCTTATTATTTTATGAAGACTATTTTTTTTTGCATAAATTAGTTAGAGAAATAAGACTTGTTTTTAGTTGGATTGGCTGCACCTATAATTTTGCAACTTTCTTTTTCCAGGTTGGTCGCAGCTATTCTGTGAAAAGTGAAGGGCTTAAAAGGGGTTTGCAAAGTATGGACTCATCTGATTATCCAATGAGTGAAAATGGTATGACTTCTTCCTGGTTTTGCACTAGCTTGATAATAAACTGTGACTAGAATTTGCCTTTGAGAGTAGGAATCCTGGACTTTACGTTCTTTACCTCATTATTTTTTGCTGAATACAAACCTAGATTTCTTTAGTGGTTTCACTGGTTTTAGATTACAGTTACCAATTTTTACAGGTGATTCTGGTGATATTGATGAAGCAGCAAAAGAGATGGAGCATACCCTTCTGCAAGATTCTATGGACAAGGAGTTGACTGAATTAAATAGGCGCTTAGAGCAGAAGGAGGTAGAGTATCTATTTTTAAGTGCATTTTAATTTATCTATCGGCGAGGTAATACGCTTGTCAATGTGCAGTATTTCTGATATTGTTGTGTGATTAAGGTTGAACGGCCCAAAAAAAAAATATGACCCGATTCTTTTGGAATCAGAATCCACTGGGTCCTGAACACTGAATGAAGGCAGTATTTACTAGAACTCTGGCGAATGTTGGTTGCTGGGAGGGGTGGGGTAGATTCATAACTTAGCTCTAGGCATTATTTGCATAAAGTGGCTGCACTCAGACATGCAACACGAACTGGTATTCTCACACTTCAGAACCCATGCTGTGACCATTGTATTATGATATGCCAATATGGCCTCTGGAAATGAATGCAAAGGAGAAATTGTAAATAATGGCATTGTTTGTTTGTGAAAAATTCAATTGACAACTTATTCCAAAAGACTAAAATTAAATAAAGAGTTGGTATATCTATGTTTTTAAACAATTTATATATGGTCGTGGTATCCATAAAACTATATTCTGCATGGATTTGCTTTTGCATGTGTAGGTTAATATTATCATTACAGCATTTTTTCACTTACTTTTTTTTATGGTCTATCCCTGCAACAATTTGTATCTATGGTTGCTAACAATAAAAACGAATGCATCAGTTGGTCCTTTTGAATACTTTTCTCTAATAGTCTGCGACAAAACTCTGTTTAGCAGACCTACATGTATCTAACATGCAATGTACATGCAGTCAGAGATGAAACTTTTTGGAGGCTCTGACACCATGGCTCTTAAGCACCACTTTGGTAAGAAGATTATGGAACTTGAGGATGAAAAAAGAACTGTGCAGGTCAAACAAAACTATGGAACTTCCTTGAATGTTTTCCAGATTTTGGCTCCTGGATACTGATTCAATTATTCATCTATTTTGTTACTGCAGCAAGAGAGGGACCATTTGTTGGCTGAAGTTGAAAACCTTGCGGCGACTTCTGATGGGCAAACACAAAAATTGCATGATATGCATGCCCAGAAATTAAAAGCCTTGGAAGCACAGGTTATCATCTTGTTTACCAATATGTCATTTCGTTTTGGATTTAATATAATTGGATTTCTTTTATTATTTTATTCTAACTACAATGCCATCAAAATTTATAAAACATCAGATACAGGATCTTAAGAAGAAACAAGAGAACCAGGTTCAGCTTTTAAAGCAAAAGCAAAAGAGTGATGAAGCAGCTAAACGATTACAAGATGAAATACAATTCATCAAGGCTCAAAAGGTTGAGTCACACTTTTGGATTCTGTTATTTTGGTATCCTCTAACCTATTTTTGGGGTATGTGCTTCTGATTTTCTTCATTTTTAAAGTTCAGGTTCAATTACAACAAAAGATTAAACAAGAGGCTGAACAATTTCGTCACTGGAAGGCATCTCGAGAGAAGGAATTGTTGCAGGTACTTGTGTCGTGTAAAGGATTGAAAACCATTGAGTCAACAAAATCATCCATTTAAATGTGCCTCACTTTCTAGACATTCTTAGTCGGTTATATACGTGTACATTTTCTTCTGATTTTTTGGGGGGTGTGAGGTTCCCTTTATGTAGTCCAACTCTAGAGTTGCCTTCATGAAAGTTTAACGTGTTCTGCAGGAGCTAAACTTACTGCCAACTGGGCTCTTAGCTGCATTTGCTTGTATTGATGAATAGAGAAGTTACACTTCTCTGTAATAGTTTAAGAATTTAGTGTAGCTGGTATGGAATAAGATTGGGCAATGTCTTGGTAGACCTTGTGCAGGCATCCTACTTGTGATAAAGTGAAGTTTCCTCCTTGCATAATACTAGAGAGACAAGGTCCAAATCAATCATGCGACTCTGAATTGCTGCATAGGTGACTGTATGTATTAAGGAGGATCAATAAAGCAGACCCATACCTGTGAACACAGCCAAATTTCAAGTTGAAATTTCCCCCTTTTTGGTTTTATGAAGCAGCGCGTATCCTAGCATGGTATCCAACTTAATAGATCTGAATGTTACTTCTTTTATTGTGTATCTTTATTTTTTTATTTTAAATGTGCTTAAATGAAGGGAAAACTCTTTGCTGAAAGGCTATTTTACTGAAAGATAGGGTTTCTTTCTAGTTAATGCAAAGGTTAGGGCTGTTTGTTTCCAATATAATTAACCAGCCATATTAGTAAGTATCAAATGTATGGTAACTTTGTATAATTCGTGCAGCTTCATATGAGATAATGGTATATATATTTGCTGCTGAATGCTACTCTTTCTATTATTGATTTTGGTTGTAAAAAAATTACCAGTTAGACTGAAATTTAAATCAACTGCTCCTCTATCAGATGCTATGCTATTTTGTGCCATTTACTTCCATATGTTGAGTATACTATTGAAATGCAGTTACGGAAGGAGGGAAGACGGAATGAGTACGAAAGACATAAACTGCAAGCATTGAATCAGCGTCAGAAGATGGTGAGAATTTTCTGTTTGTGTAACTACTTATGTTTTGCACCCTGACAAGAATATTCCCAAAACAATTTGACACCACATTTGAGAACACAACGAATTTTTTGGTTATGGAGTTCTAAACACCCATCCTGACACAGAATCTCGTCCTTTTTCTTTCAGGGTCTGATTAAATAGCCTAAAATTTAGTTTTAGTTATACTATGTCATTAAGGTAGAATTTCATAGACCTCGTGTAGCCACATTTCACTCATATACTCATGTAATCCCTTTCTTTTCCTTTTCCGAGGATAAGCTGGGCAAGCTTATCTGGCATTCCTGTTGGTGCACAATTTAGGAATGCTTCACTTTCTTAAGATTTAAAAAGTTATGAAATGACTGAAAACTGTTTGAGTTTTATGATTTATGATCTGTAAAATATGGCTTGATATTTGGTACCTTTTGATTTGCGATGTTGACCTGAAATTATACTTGTGATAAAATGAATCCTTAAATTTCTTGTGGGTAGCATAAAAATGTGACTATAGTCAACTTTTATGTCATGAATGCCCACGATAGTTGTTTTCTATGATACAGACTCTGAAGCATTTTTTATACTTGCAGTATATAACAAGTATTGGTTGTTGCTGTTCATTAAAATTATATTTCAGGTTCTTCAGCGGAAGACAGAAGAAGCTGCAATGGCAACCAAAAGACTAAAAGAGTTGCTAGAAGCACGCAAGTCTTCAGCTCGTGACAACTCAGGTATCTGTTTGCGGTGACTAGTGTATAATTCCTTTCTCTTATATAGGTAATTTGCACATCCCTCTTTCTTTATGAAGACATCTTTTAAACAAGACATTCGACACTCACAATCTCCAAAATTGAAGCGCATTTAACAAAGAGTTTCTACAATTCCAATTGTTTCATGAGGATGGAGGTGTCTTGTTATTGAAAGCATGAAGTGCTCATATTAGAAGTCTGTCCTCTTTATATTCTCATTGCTAATGATATGTTGTCTTGCAGTGGTTAGCAATGGACATGGTACAAATGGTCAGGTGATCATCTAAGCATCATCTTCACAGAACGTGTTAATTCCTTCGCCATATAATTTGAACCTTGTTAATGTAAGTAGCATATGCAGAGCAATGACAAATCTTTACAACGTTGGCTTCACCATGAACTAGAAGTGATGGTGAATGTTCATGAAGTTCGCAATGAGTATGAGAAGCAAATCCAAGTGTATGTATTCATCTGATTTTAGTATATATAATTTTATCAGTTTAATTGGGGGTAAGATTTTAAGTTGTTGCCTGGCTATCTCCAGACGAGCTGCACTGGCTGAAGAATTAGCTGTTTTGAGACAAGTTCACGAATTTGCTTCAAAGGGAATTAGCCCTCCAAGGTGGAAAAATGGTTTTCTCAGGTATAACTTTATTCATAATGAATGATTTTGTTCCTTGATCACAATTTCTAGCTGTTTTCTGGTTTCGGTAATAAAATAGCTTGAGATATACCTTGAATTGCTATAAATATTATTCCTTGAGAAATTTCTCTATATTTTTTTCTTTGTTCAGGTCATCTACCATGTCGCCAAATGCAAGAATGGCGTGGATAGCTTCTCTTGAGAACATGTTAAGCATTTCATCCAACTCACTTGTAGCAATGGCTTCACAGCTCTCAGAGGCAGAAGAACGGGAGCGTGCCATCACTAGCCGTGGACGTTGGAACCAGCTACGTTCAATGGGAGATGCAAAGAACTTGCTTCAATATATGTTCAACTCTCTCTCAGATGCAAGGTGCTTTCATTGGCCTACTGGATTAAGAACAATTGCATCTTTGTCTCTTCCTAATGCATACAATCTCACAGAAGTCTATGTCACAGGATATTTTCCTTTTTCACGGAGGGGGGGGTGGTGTTTAGGAGGGAAAAATAATATAATTCCTTGTCAATCACCCTTACCCTCTCTGAGAACCAGGCCTGGTTCTGATGTGTTTCAGACATCAGGTTCGACTACTGAGTTTGAGAACCTTGTAACTTGTCTGCACTTGTACATACATTTTTTAGTTCAGAGAATGTCTATGGTTATTTACCTTCCAAAAAAATAATGCATATATAGGGACTTGATTAGCAAGAAATGAAAAATTAACTTTACAGGGGCTGGTATATGAAGCAAGAGCTCGGAGGAAGGTTTATGCTTAGCAAAAAATAATACTTCTTGTCAGTTGGCATTTCTGAGTTATTACCAATTATTTGTGATAGTAACAAATGTTTTTTACCTCTTGAGTTGTGTTAGCTTGTAGGAATTCTTTGTTTGGTTAAAATATAAAGTATCAGTTTGTGTAACAGGTGCCAATTATGGGAAAAGGAAATTGAAATCAAGGAAATGGAGGACCAACTGAAGGAACTCGTAGGCCTACTACGACAGAGTGAAGCAAGAAGAAAGGAAGTTGAAAAGGAGCTAAAACTGAGGGAGCAAGCTGCTACAATTGCATTGGCTACATCAGCTTCAGTATGGTTCTCTGTGCTTTCCTCCATGTATATAAACAGTTGGAGCATAATTTAAAGATTATAAACCCTTTTTAAGGCAAGCGTATAAATAATTGACTCACACATTGACATTTAAATTTTGACACGTTTTTGGGTCAACTTTCTTCGTGGAAATGTCATTGACAAGGCAAGTCTTGGAGCTCCAGATTTGCCCACAGTTTGTGAAAAGGTCACATTTAGAATGGATCTATGGATTTATTCATATCCAAGGTTCTTTCTACAGGTCCACAGGCTGTTGTACAAACCTTAATGGGTCCTTAACATGACTTTGTTCTACTTTATCATCTTCTTTCTTTATTTCTTTCTACTTAAATAAGTATTTTGACTCTTCAGGCCGGCAATGAAAAGGGGAATTCTCACAATCCACTAAAACACCTAGCTGATGATCTGAGTAGTCCCTTGTCTCCCATCCCAGTTCCAGCACAGAAACAGCTCAAATATACAGCCGGCATCGCCAATGGTTCAGTCAGGGAGGCTGCAGCTTTCATAGATCTGACAAGAAAGGTTTATTTGCTGCTCCTTGTTTCCTTGATGTTGATATGTATTCTTTTTATGGCTGATGAAGAATTCCATGATAATGCAGATGGTGCCAATAGGCCAATTGTCAATGAAGAAATCTGCGGCAGTGGGGCAAGGTGGGAAACTATGGAGGTGGAAGAGGAGCCATCGTCAGTGGATTTTACAGTTTAAATGGAAGTGGCAAAAACCTTGGAGACTTTCAGAATTGATTAGGCACAGTGATGAAACAATCATGAGGGCAAGGCCTCGTCCACAGGCTCTGCCGAATGTGCTACATAATAGTCGTTAACTTAGATGTCACTATTGTATATAAGTTTTATCTCACCTTCAGCCCCAGTGCTTGGCACAGGGAAAAGATAGAAATAAGTGAAGGTAACATCAAATTAACATTAAATTTACATCCTCACTGAGTTATCATGTTTTGTTATTCACCTTTTGCATACCTGTGGTTCCATATCACTTTATGTTTATGATAAACAATGCATATAATTAGACAATTACCCTTGAGAGTAAGCTCTTAATTTTATGTGGAGTCATGATAAGTCAAACTTGTCTTAGAAGGTAGCCAATAGAAACACTATTTTCCCATGAAACCATAGTTCATTGTCAGGGGCGGAGCCAGGTTTCTAGTTGAGGGGGGCCAAAACAGGATCAAATTATTTACCATGTCACATAAAAGAGAAAATAATAGGGTCATTTATAAATTTTGAAAAAATAAAAAAAGGGGGGCGGGGTAATGGTTCAAATTATGTAGAATTATGTCTTTTTTACACTGTATGTACAATGCCTACCAAAAGTCAGTGACTCAGTGCCTCCCCACAACCAAGAGTGTAGCTCCGCCACTGGACTCATTGTTATTCATAGTTTGATTGGATTACCAAAATCCTTTTTCTTGTCAAAATTAAGTAAATGCATAAAGTTTTTCAGCTTAGAATTTAATATACCAGGAAAAATTTAGATTCTCTTTATTTTGTTCCTCTGTTTTATGCTTCATATTTTATAAAAATTTTATGATGCAGAATACGGCATAAATGGCAGGAGGGGGATCTCTGCTTATCTTGGTCATATGGATGAATTGGAGTTTCAGTATAATAGGTTTGCAATTGTCAAATTCTGTTCCTATGGTTACTTAATCGGAGCATCCTGTAAAGCTGTGTCGATGCTACGGTGAGCCACCTAAGTACTCACAAAAACAATGCTGGGATGTTTCCATGGTGAAGTTTCAATGCATTGGTGATGGTAAATTTTGCACCTCGTGGTGGTCTCAAATACTGTGGTATACTTTTCTGCAATAGCCATTAATTCTTCTGAGCAAAGTTCTTCCACCGAATCACAGCAGTCTGTGGAATGGTCCATCTGAATTGTTTTTATAATTGTTTGTTAATTTGGCTCGTCTGCTCTAGTGTATATAGTATATGCAGCATATTTGTTTATAAGAACAGCAAAGGGTTGTTTCTTCTCTTTTTGTTTTTTTTTTTTTTGGCGTCAAGTGTGTCTGATAGTATAGATTATGATGCAAGAAACTGACCCTGTACCATTCTTTTTCATAACAAAGGAAATTTAATTGAAGAAAGTCTGTGTGTGTGTGTGTGTGTGTATTAACAAATGCTTTTTCTTCACTACAGTATACTGTATACCATCTTAGCTTGTAAATTTGTCCAGAGAATACTGCATCATGATACTTCTATGTTGAATACAATACTATGATCGTTCATTCTCTGCTTATGGAGAATCCAATTCTCATGCTCAGATCCTTCTTCCTCCTCCCCTTCTTTTCTTCTCTTCCTTTCCTTTCCCTCTTCTAGTTCAAGGGTTATTAATGTGGTATACTGTTGCACAGCTAAATGAACCTTTTCACCTTTATTTCAACAGGCAGGAAAATGGAAGTATCCTAAACCCTCCATTTGCATGTATTCCTTCACTCACCCCTTGGCCCCAGCTCCTTGCTTTTTTATTTTTTTTTTCTGTACCAAAAACATTGTAAGGCATGACATGTACAGAACCACCACCACCACCACCACGAGGCCAGTCCCATTGCCGAGTGCAATGGTAAAAGCTTGGGTTTGTCAGGCCTGAGGATGCAGCAGAGGAGGAGAGGGAGGGAATTGTAATATGCTCCATCGTGCGATTAGCACCATCGTATGCAACAGAAAGCATAATATGAATTCCAAACATATAGTACAAATGAAATTCCAGACGTTATTCTTTAAAACTGTCCCCATACTGGACGGGTGGAGAGGTTCGAACGTACTTGGTTATTGAAATCCTGAAGCAATAACAGGTGCTTAGTCCAAGAGGCAATCTGAACTACAGGAAAAATGAAACTGGATTAAAAAAAATGGAAATATGAACTACACCAAAATTTAGCATGTATTGCACAAATCATTACTGTTATACATTTTGACACACCAGTTTGGACCTCCACCAGTCACGCCGAAGTATTGCCCAGATCTGACGATTTAGTCGTGAATAATACATGAAGCTAAGATGAACATGTATCCCTAATCACCCTGTCCGGTGCATGAGATTTACCTCCTATAAGAGGCATTCAAACCATTTCCCAAAAGCAACCAAGTCTCATAAGATCAAGAAAGAGTTGAATGAAGCGCAAACAGGCTGTCAAGGACCATAGAAGTATGTTTATATGATGAAAACTGCCTATTATGCATCACAAGGACAGAGGATTACATCAAACAAGAAGATGAATCCATTCTATCAACTGGAGCGGTCAGATTTTGCAACACCAGAATCCATAGTGTTCCTCTTTGCGATGATTGCTAACCAGACCCCCACACTTTAAACAGACAAAACTGCTTCCATCAGAAAAGGCATTCAGCACAATTTGCTGCCTGCCAGTCTCCGCGAGTATTGAATTCCCTTGAGCATCTGGTTCAATAAACTGGAACATAGAAGTTCCATGAGCATCTGGTCCAATAGACTGGGCCACCGTGTTATACTGATTCTGTTCACCTTCAGATGGCATGGCTTCAGCAATTGCACACTCAGCAAACAAAGAAGCCAGCTCATCAGCAGCAGCACTAGCCTGCAGTTTGTTTCTGTAAAGCTCCTGGGCACGGTTAAGTGCTTCAAAGACAGCCCCATCTCCACCTTTTGTTCTCATTGCCACCACCACCTGTCACCAAGACTATCAGTACAGAGAATGGAAATGTTCTAATAATCTTGAGTAGTTGAAAATGTAGTTCATTCCTCTTTTCTAGAAGCACCTTGATACTTCCACCCCTCAACAACTATAAATATGTTCACTATAACCCCTCCACCAAAATAAATGAAGCTCTGAATGTATAAAGATTGTACGATGTCAAACATTAACTATGGAGGTCTGTTTGTGGTCATTATGTAGACCACAGGAATAGGCGCCATGAATTATATGTCACTTTATTATCATTTCTCTTACAGTTATTTCGACTGGAACATGTTTAACAAGTGTTGGTCGACCTCCGGAGGATAACAATTTGCTTTTTCAACCTGAGATTCTCTTTTTCATTTTTTCAACTAGAGGAAGACAATGTTCTTTCTTTATTCTCGAAGGACAAGAGATGCTAAGGAAACTTGAGTGAAATCGTTCCCCGAATCTAGATGTGGTGGCAAGATTGCCATATCAGCCGTCCAAAGAATTGATTTTATGGAAAAACAGCAATTTAGAAGTCTAAAAACACGGGAATTGCTAGAGGACTCAACAATTACTCATAATTTTCACCATCTTGATTAGGAAGATTTTAGTTCCCCTTCTAAACCAATTTTCTGTATCACTCAAGTTGTCTGGATGGAAACTCCAATGGTCCACAAGGAAAAAGTTACAGATGCATTATAAATGGAGCAATCAAAATGATAAAAGTTCATAGAAAAAACATAAAATTGAATGGATCAAATAACTAAAATGCTTCAAATGCAATCAGGACATAATTATATATACAGACTGTTTGCTAATCATAAAGGTAATTACCTTATATGACAATCATAGATTCATATAAATCTATATAGAGAGATAATCAAAGAAGATATATTTGAGGAACTCTCACAAATCAAATCTCCCTAGACTCACATAATCCACAAGGTGAGCAAATCCTTGTATCCCTAGGAAGTAGGAAAGGCAGAATGAAAAACGTTACAGATACAGGTTCTATCATATGGAAAAAATAGTCCCCCATTTTTCATCATCAATAACGGAAGATTGGTAAGAATTATATATCAATATTCATGCCCCTCATGAACTTTCTCTGAATATGCAATTGTTAAGAGAAATTCCTTGACAATACAACATCAAAAAGTACAAAATATTGCACTACAAGATCAACCAATTCAATGGCATCTTTTTAATCATAAACCGCAGTCTGTATTTAATTTTTATTTTTTTTCAGGCAATTAGGGTGTTGGAACCTCCTAGAGCATCGACAAGATGGCCAGGTATGGGTACAAATATGAAAGGGAGGGTCGCTGTTTGGACCGTTTATCAAGAGATGGTTCATCTATACGACCCCAACGAGCTGGTACATGACATTCTTGAATTCAATATACTGGTTAACAGCAAATCACATCGCTGTTTGGACCGTTTATCAAGAGATGGTTGGTCTATACGACCCCAAAGAGCTGGTACATGACATTCTTGAATTGAATATACTGGTTAACAGCAAATCACATATATATATATATATATATATATATATATATATATATATATATATATATATATATATCTTCTGCACATATGTGATTTTTAAAACGAACTAAAAACCAAAGAAGAAGTTAATTTCTAAGTTGAACGAACGAATGAAATGAAAATGTTTCATTAATTAACTGAAAAGGCCCTCCAGTATCAGTGTTGATCTTCCAACCAGATAACCCTAGTGGTATATACGTACTCAAACCAATCCCCTATACAAGTGAATTTTTCCCAAAACAGAAAGAAAAACTATGAAAGCATTACTGACAGGCGAATCGTGAATAGAAAGCTTGAACTTTAACAAGAAAACTAATTATACTTCAAGAACCGACACAAATATGAAACTTTTACGCGCACACATACAGATAGAGAGAGATGAATTCACCGTCTGAAGAGCCTGTGAAGGTTTGCCTTGGTCGATGAGTTGGCGAGCCAATGTAATTAAACCTCTAACGTCGTCGTCTTCTTCTGTGTTCGACGCCAGAAACTGCTGCGGCGGAGGTGCCGGTTGCGGTTGCGGTTGCGATGGCGACGAAGACTGGACCTCCATCATATCGGCGTCCGTACTGTCCATGGCATTTCAGTTTCACTGCTTGCCTAGGTTTCTGAATTTTTCTCTCCTCTTACAAAGTTGGAAAAAAAGAGGGCGTGTTTAGTTTTGTTTCTAAAAATTGTTTTTTGTTTTTAAAAATTTAAAATTATTTAAAACTTGTTGATTTAGTATTTTTGTTTTTAAGTTTTTAAAAAAAGTGAGAATTGAGGCAAAAAAAAAAAAAAAAACAAGCTAGACTTGTATTCAACTTTTTAGGTTGAAAATCTTGAAAATACAAAGAACAATGGACTTTAACGAGGTCTCCTTTCAAATTTCTTTAGCTACAAAATTTTATAGGCTTCTCTTTTTTTTTTTGTCTTCCTCTATGCTTGACCCTCTCTCTCCACTTGGCCTCTCAGATAGAATGAACATAGAGAGAACTAGTGTCTTCCTCAAATCGACCCTCTCCAAATCTAAACTCACACACGCACACAAGTGAGTGCACTTTGAGCACTGTCTACATCTCTTCTCTCTCTGTGTGCAGCTCTTCCTTTTTAACGAAGAGAAAGACAGTGGTGTTTTGTGTGTGCTCAGATCGGTGGTTCTTTGTGGGTATCCGGTATCAAAACACACACACATTGAGATCTCCAACATCTTCTCCGTTCTCTGTCTATGTGCTCATATAGGTGGTTTTTTTTATGATTTTTGGTGGTGGTTGTGGATTTCGTTAGTGTTTGTGCTTTATGGGTCTTGATGCAAAGTGAAAAAGAGAGAGAGAGAGATGAAACGAAGGTGAGAATTGTGAATTATTGTCTAAACAAATTTTATACTTTTTGTTTTTACAATTATTTTTAAAAATATATAATTTTAAAAACACATTCTTAAAATTCTTCCCAAAAATAATTTTCAAATACTGTTTTTTGATATGCAAACCAAACAGGCCCTATGTGTTTATGTTTCTAATCAACCAAATGTTTAAAGCAATTTCTGTCGTAGACCCAATTCTTTTTTTTTTGATCAGAAATAACCATGCAACAATATATTAAGAAGAAAATTCTAAATTATAGTTAGACAAAAGAGAAGCCTTAAGCTCGGGAAGGGGGAGCCTAACCAATCCAAAGGAAGGGAATTGGTTAGTTTAGCAACTGTCATCCAATGAGCAGCCCTATTACAAGTTCTAGGCTTGTGTAGAAAGCTAAAGTAGTGTAATCTAGTCAAAAATCTAATATCATCTATGACAATTTTAATTTCCCAGAGGGGGACATCCTCAGTTGAGCTATGTTTAATAATAGAAAGGCAATCAATCAAAATTGTAACATTTGAGAGCAAAAGGACAACAGCAATTTGGCAGGCATGGCGCACGACCTCAGCTTTAGAGAACAGAAGGGATACTGCAGGGAGAGACTTAGCAGCACCAAAAAACAGAGAGCCATCATCCTTAATCAGCACCAGACCACAAGCAGCTGAACCAATTTTAGGATCAAATGAGCCATCACAGCATAGGAAATAATCAAACATAGGGTTGGGGATTGCACCGGCAAAGTCATAGGAGAAGTTGAGCAAGTCTGAGAAGAATCAGACAACTTGAGCTGGTCACACCAAAGACATTGAGCACGAATAACCGTCCCAACAACGTTTACCTCCTCATCACAAAAGACCTTTTGATTCCTAACTTTCCAAATAATTCAACCCACAGTAGCAACCTTACCCAAAACCTCCAGCCTTGCTTGAGCAATCCCAACCTGCTCCAAAATCTAGGAAGATCTGTGTGCCAACGACAAAAGAGAAGTCGCATCCCACTCAAACGCCAAATTCATGCCGAACCAAACCCTTTTCGTCCATTCACACTCAAATAAAAGGTATTCAGAGGATTCAATACGGAACTTACAGATAGGGCATTTGGGTGAGGAAACACACTTCCTTTTAAAGAGGTTCTCCCAAGAAGCCAAAATATTAAACCCAATTCCCAACTCTTCTAATTTAGTCCTCTTCTCTCACCGTTGTCAAGATCTATTTCTTTTATTTTCTTAGTGGATCTCTGTCGCTTGGTTATGGACTTACGAGGCTTTTGGGCCTATTTGTGATCTATCATGGGGCTTAGGAAACCGTTTTCTTTTTGTAGATTTATATGAGTTTAAGTATGTTTAAAAAATTTATTTGGGAATAAGTTTATTTTCATCTCCATTGTCCAAAATACCATTAATAGTTATATTTAGTCAAAACTTGTTTGAAAAAATTAACAACTCCTAAATTAAAAATTGTATTAATATTAACAACTCATATATTGGAATTTGTGCTAGCATTAAAATTATATATATATATATATATATATATATATATACTACTACTACTACTACTACTAATAATAATAATAATAAAAGTATCTTAACATTAAAACTTTTGACTCACTATTTTACCCTCATAAAAAATTAAAAAGATTATTCTATCATTTCACACTTAATATCTAAATTATCATCATATCCTTATGCATTTAAATCTCTAAATTACATCTAAGATCACTTTTAAGTATCTTAACATGAAAAAATTTTGATTTATTATTTTACCCTCATAAAGAATTAAAAAGGTCATTCTATCATTTCACACTTAATATTTAAATTACTATCATATTCTTATTCATTTAAATCTCTAAATTACATTTAATATCACTTTTAGTTATATATTCCCTACATATAAATGTACTTTTTGATTAATTATATTACTTTTAAAAGATATATACGTCATTATAAGTTTTAACAAATATTCAAAAAAGTCTTCAAAACTTTCATCCTATAATATTACTCACCTTATTTATAAAGATAATAGGGAGAATTATACTCAGACCCCCTAATATTTGTCACTTAATCACTTAGATCCCTGACATTTGAAATATTACACACAAACCCCTTAATATTTGTACGTGCGTAACACTTAAACTCCTGTTGTAAATATATCCGTTAATAAATTACACTTAAACTCTCCTAAAGTTTGTGGGTATATAATACTTAGACCCTTTAAGTTTAAAATATTATACTTAGACCACAAATACTCCAATCAAATATAAAATTTAAAATATTTTAAATTTTACAACTAAAATTATTATTCTATTGTATCATTTATTAAAATAAAATCAAAAATAAAAATTTAATTTTTGCTTAAAAAATTATAATTAGTATACAATTATATTATCTATTAGAATTTAATTTAGTCATTTAAATGACCAAATTAAAATACCAAACTACCCCAATTAAATTTAAAAGATATTATGTCCATTATAGTTTCATTCTTTGTTTAATTTTTTAGTTTAATTTTATTAGACAGTATAAATATATACTAACTATGTTTTTTTTTTTAAATATAAATTTTTATTTTTGATTTTATTTCAATAAATGATATAATAAAACATGAATTTTGGATGTAAAATTCATGTTCTATTATGAATAACTTTGACCCATTGTTTGATTTTTTAGTTTTATTCCAATAGATAGTATAATTGTATACTAATTACGATTTTTAAAAAAATATATTTTTAAAATTTTATTTCAATAAATGATACAATAAAACATGAATTTTAGTTGTAAAATTTAAAAAAATTTATATTTTATATTTGATTAAAATATTTTTGATTTAAGTATAATATTTTAAATTTAAAGGGTCTAAGTATTATATACCCACAAACTTTAGGAGAGTTTAAGTATAATTTATTAACAAATATATTTATAACATGGTTTAAATGTTACGCGCGTACAAACCTCAGGGAGTTTGTGTGTAATATTTTAAATATCAGGGGGTCTGAGTGATTAAGTGACAAACTTTATGGGATCTGGATGTAATTCTCCCAAGATAATATTATAACTATATTTTTATATTTTAATTTTCATCAAAATGTTTAACCCTTTTATTTTTAAGATAAAAAATAATGTATATATAATTTTACAAGATTTTTTAGTCGTAGTAAACTTTTCAGACTTTATTAATATTTATGAGAAAACTCATTTTTTTAAAAAGTAAATTTAAAATGCTTTGTAAAATATATTATAACATTGTATATTAAATTTGATTCCAATTAACCTAGATAATCCAAAATACAGTAATATTTAAATATGATTGGTATATATGATAATTATATTTATTTTATTCAATGATTTATAACTAGAATTTTAATCAAATTAATTTTATAAGTATCTATTCTCTATTTATATACATCAATTTTTATGAAACTTTTTGATTGATTATATTATTCTTAAAAAATATATGAGTTATTTTACATTTTAACAAAATTTTCAAAAAAACTTTAAAAACTCCATCAATATAATAATACTCATCTCATTTATGAAGATAATATAATCATTATATATGTATATTTTATTTTTCATCAAAATATTTAACCATTTTATTTTTAACATAAAAATAATGTATATGTAGTTTTATATGATTTTTTAATCGCAGTAAATTTTTTAAACTGTGTTAACATTTTATATGAAAACTTGAATTTTTTAAAAAATTTTAATATGCTTTATAATTTATATTATGGCGTTGCATATTAAATTTTATATCAATTTACCTAACTAATCCTAAATACAGTAAGTTCCAATAAGATTGATATATTGATAATTATTTTTATTTTATTTAATGACTTATAAGTGGAATCTTAATCAAATTAATTTTAAAAAATTTAATTTTCAAACATCACTAAAAAATCATTTTCAATTATAAAATATAGAAACAAAATAAAACTTTAATTATTTTTTTTTATTATTTTTCTTAAAAATAGAACAATAACTCTTGAAAGTATATAAAGTTTTCAAAACTTTTATAGTGGAGTATGAGAGATGAAAAAATAAATTTGATAAACAATATTGAAATTAACAATGATAGACAATATTTATAGTAATGATAATTATAGAATACATTTCAAAAAGAATTTAAAATGTTTTAAAATGTGTACTTATTGATAACTATTTTATAAAAAAAGATAACTTAATAGAGTATATATTTGAAGCTACTACTTAAATTAAACCAAATAAATTCTACAAAAGGTATTCACAGCCAATTATCCCATTATTTGATGGGAATCTGTTAGCTTAGATTGGGCTTCTATCAGAGCCATTTGACGGTCTTGATATCTATCTGCTGAATTATATTTGAATTA